CATGCCCTAATATAAAAAATCCCCGAAAAAAAAAAAAAAAAAAAGAAAAAGACGCTCCAGATTTTAGCATCCCTGACCCTTGGCCAGTCTTACAGAAGAAAATATGAGATCCAGAGAGGTCAAGAGATTATGCACAGTCAGACAACAGTTCAGTGCTACCAGTCTGGACCAGAAACCCAAGTCCCAGCTCCGCCCATTCTGGGCCGCCTTGGATAACCTGGGATTAGAGCAGTCATGTTAGCATGCTAGTCTTCAGTAACTCAATTTTCCAAAGAGGATTGGGTAATGAGACATTTTAAGCTTGCATTTGTGGCACATGTATTGTTATTGTTATTAATTACCACAGCTTTCTCTTATGCATATATCTGAGCTATTTATTGATGTCTGAAAATAGCCACCTTGTTTTAGCCTCGTAGTAGTTTACAACCTGTGTCTTGAACCTATGACAGGTAAGTAAATCCTTACAGTTTTTTTTAATTGCCAGAGGGTGCATGCACTTCCCAGGGAGATGAAGAGAAAGTGAGTTGGAGAGAAAGTGAGAGATGGAGAGACAGAGAAACAGGTGATGGGAGAAAGCGCCCTCTAGGGAGGCATGGTCACGCCACAATTCCTTCAGCATTTCTCTGTGTTGCCAGGTTTTGGAGCGTACATATATACCTGTCATGTTTTTCAAGCTGTCTAGGCTAGGATTTGAATTGTGATCAGCCATGGAATCCAGCCCCTTTAATCATTAGGCTATGGGCCTGACCCAATTCTTAACATTTTTAAATGAATCCACTTTTCATTATTTATTCCATGTCTTTTTCATAGCTAGGGCCTTATATTCCTTCAATTTTATAACTGCATTTATACAAATAGAATGGAATCAGAAAATAATGATGAAAAATATTTTAATTATATAAAAGGATGTTAAGAACTTATAGCATATTGAAGTAATTATTTTTAAAGAAGTATTTATTTAATTTCTTTCTTCTTCTTTCTTTCTCTTTCTTCTTTTTCCTTCTCCTTCTATTTCTACTTCTCCTTCTTCTTTTAAATTGCTATAGGGCATGTGTGCTCCCCAGAGTGAGACAGAGAGAGAGGGAAAATAGGGAAGCAAGTAGCCAGGTCTGGGACTTGAACCGTAGTTGGCCATGTTGGAGTTCCGTGCCTCAACCACCATGCCAGCTGCTGGCCCCCATATTGAAGCTAAAGACTACTTTTATAAACTAGAGAAGTTAGGATTTGAGAAGTCAGAGCAATGGAAGACAAAGTCTCATTATTAAAAATAAGAATAAAAATAATAACATTAAAAAATACGAATATAGATACAAGTAGTCATGCGTAGGAGAGAAGAGCACATGCTAGTATTGTCTTTAGAGTGGCAGGTAGTAGGTATTTGTGAATGGAATTAGGTGTGCTGATTTAGTTTGTCACCTACTGCTTCTTAGCGTGGAGCGAGGGACATGGCCTGAGAGAACCGTGTGCTGACAGCCACAGCTCTCAGAACTCACATTGGTATTTCCAGGAACAGGTTGCATTATTTTAGACAAGGGACAGCCTGGAGCGCGTGCACACTTGTTCTGCCCTTCTGCAAGTTTCAGTGAGGAAGAAGGTTATCTGTGTGAACTTGCCCTTCTCGGGAGAGAGCAATGTAATGGAAGCTGCGAAAGCAAGATTTCATGAGAAGGGAGGCATGATTAAGAGTGTCAGAGGGGGACCAGCAGTTAGCATAATGGCTATGTTGCTGGACTCCCCTGTAGTGGATCACGGTTCATGTCCTGGACCCAATGGCTTGAAACTCATGCTGGGCATGTGTGCGTGCGTGCTCAAGATCCCGAGAGGAGAATGGAGGAGAAGGGATTGCGGTGTGGCCATCCTCCCTGGGGAGTGATTTCTTGCTTTCTGTCTCTCTCTGACTTTCTGGTGAGTGCACGCACCCTATAGCAAAAACCTCTCAAAAAAAAAAAAGCTGTCAAATGAAGCAGAGGAGAGGTGCCAAATCCACCCCAGCGTCTGGCTCAGGCCAGAAGTGAAAAGGAAGGGGAGGAAGTTGGAAGCAGTGAGCATAGACTTCCCTTCCAGGAAGCTTGACTGAAGGATGGATAGATGGGGCAGTAACTAGTGGTGACCTACAGTGACTCATTGTGACATTGTGACATCTGAGATCTGCCTGTGTTTTTATTCTGATCAAAAGAGTTAGTGCAGATGTTGAATTAGAAAGTGCTGGAGAGAGAGAATATAACCCACATAGAAAAAGCCTAGAAGAAATAGGAGGCATGGGAGGGGCTGACCCTGGATAGGCAGGGACCTGCCCTTTCTCTGAAATAGAGCTCCAGGAAGAAAGGGTGGGCCTGGAGGGGGCCCTCTGGTGGGTGGAGTCAGGCAGGAAGTTAGGGAGTTCATGCCTGATGCCCTTTGTTATCTGAGCCATACAAAGCAAAATTATTATAGAGCAGGGAGCATGGGTGTGGGTTGGCTCTTGAATAGCCCACAAGAGGGTGATAATAGGTTGACAGTCCATAAGGGAGACCCACTTGAGACCGGACGTCTCAGATTGCACGGGACCACGCCTGGTGTGCTGACCTCTATGCTGGTGCAGGAGCAGGGCATTCCATCCTAGACAGACAACTGAGGAGGGCACAGGGATTAAAGAATTGAGAATTTCTGGAGAGATGTCTAGCCATGAGGGGAAGGAGACAGAGCCAGAGGGGCCCCAAAGCCCTTGACCCTGGTGACCATTGGAAGGGAGGAGAGTAGAAAAGTGGAAGCCCTGAGTGGGAGAACAAGTCTGTCAGAGAATGGGACTATGCCGTTGAAGAGTTCAGACATGTTATTTGGGTTGGGTTTGCCAAAGTGCAATGCTATGGACTAAGGGATGCAGTGACTTAGGCCAGAGAAGGGACAACTCACTCACATGAATGCTGAAGTCCCCAGGTGGACTACAGGAGGGGGTTCCTGGAAGGGAGTGACCAACGGGTCAGTAAGTGGCCAGGAGGGCATGCTGGCATTGGAGGAGGACGGTCCACATAGAAGAGGTTTGTGCCTGTGGGTCAGAAAGCACCGAAGCGAAGGCACAGCAGAGCTGCAAGCACACCTTCAGCCCATCTCCCAGGGACATGGCACAGTGTCGGAAGGCCTGAGAGAGGCTGGAGCCAGGGCCTGACCTGATGGGAATCAGGGCAAACAGGAGTGGCAGAGTAGCTTGGCAATGAGGCAGAGTCATGGTGTTCCAGAGAGCACAGTGGAATAGAAGGGGAGATTGAGTGTTAAGTGGAAAAACACAGGGAGTGCTGATTCCAGGAGAGAAGAGAGTGGAGGGGCTTGCCTTTTGGTAGAGGTGGAAGATGGCAAAGGTGGAAGGTAAGGGATTAGCTGGTCTTAAGGCTCTGGGTACCAGGTCATGTTCTCTGAACTTGTGGTGGGATTTCAGCCATTGGGTTGTGGAGATTTCAGCTCTACTTGCTTTTTGGTTGTTATAACCTCTTCCTACCAAAACTTGGCAAGGAGAGAAAGGAAAGAGATGGAGTAATAACTGGAGTTTGGTGTTGGCTATGAAGTTTTGTCCATAAAGTAAAGAATCTTTATAGACAGGAGCCAGTTAGAATGAATAAGTATCACTGTATGCAAAATCTCTATTTGATACAGTCTGACATTCAGATTAAGAATATTGGGTAATAATTGAACTACAATACTCCAAGCCCTGTTCTCTGTTCTTTACTGAATTTAATCTTATCTTTAACCCTGTCACTTTTATTTATTTTTTTCTTTTTTAGGGGGGAGAGGTTTTTAGCTATAGGGTGCATGCGCTCGCCAGAAAGACAGAGACAGAGAGACAGAAAGCGAGAAATCACCCCCCAGGGGGGATGGCCACGCCACAGTCTCTTCTCCTCCATTCTCCTCTCGGGATCTAGGGCATGCACGCAGACGCACCCAGCATGAGTTTGAGCCACCGGGTCTGGGACTTGAACCGTGGT